AAACTGTTTAAATGAGGCTCTTTCCATTCATTAGTCTAAATATCAGCTTCTCAAAGATGATCCTATGGGGTAGAAGATTTGTTTAATCTAAAAATAAATTAAGCGTTATTCAGATTAATGTAAGGACACATATTTGGGATTTACTAATTATGGGTGTCTTAGTTACTTTTTTTCATTGCTGAGACAAAACAGCCAACATCCAAAGTTTAAGGGATAAAGGTTTAGTTAGCTCAGTTTGTAAAGGTTTCAGTCCATAATCGGCTGGTTCCAAAGCAGGGTGGCATGGCAGACAGGCCTCACAGAGGAGAAACAGTTCTTGGCGGGCAGAGGTAACAAAGCAACAAGGGGAGCCTTAACAGCATCTTTCTGCCCTTTTATCTTACCTAAGCTACTCAGCCTGGGGCAATGCCAAACCTTTTGGTGGATGATTTAGTATTTATAATGATGCTTTGGGGGGACATCTAGACACAAACCATAACCATAGGACACACTCAGAATATCAACTGATTAAGGCATAGATTAATTCTTTTTCCATTCAGGGCCATGATCACTTTCTCAGCTTGCCCAGCATTGAGAATCCATGTAAGCTGAATAATGGTCAGATACTGCATCCTGGTTCCTGATTATACTACTTAACATGGCAAAAGAAACTCTGCAGATGTTATTAAATAAAGGATTTGGAGGAGGAAAAGTATCCTAAATTGTTTTGATAGATCCAATATAAACCGTAAGAGTCCTTATAAGGGGGAGGGAAAGACAGAAAGATCAATCATTAGATGTAAAACTGAACCAAGAGGTTAATGTACAAAAGTGACATAGAATGCAGGTATTGAATTCTCCCTCAGAGCCTCCAGAATGAACTATTTATTGTACCTTGTTCACATCTTCACTTTGGCTTGGTGAGACTGATTCTGGAATTGTGAAATCTAAAGCTGTGAAATAATAAACCTGTGTTGTTTTAAACCACTAAATTTGTGATGTTTTGTTACAGCTGTAATAGAAAACCAATACAGAGGATTCCTGGAATATGGAACTTTCACCACTAAAACAGGACTTGTTCAACCTAGCTTTAGGTTTTCAATGCTCAAACATCTGGTACACAGTAAGCATAAAAAAAATCTTTGAATAATTTTACAATTAAATATATAGATAATATATTCTGTTTTACAAAGATCTGTCGTATAGGTTATCTCATTTTCTTCTAACTATCCCTTGGAAGGAATGGATCAGCCTTACCATTTGGAGAATATAAGAACTAAAGTTCAAAGGAGTTACATAACATGTCCAGGGATACATATCTAGTAGTTTTACATTAGATGTAATGTAATGTATAGTGTAGGGCTGTATGTATAATGTAGGGCTTCTGATTTTACAGACAAAAGATCATGGCAGACAGGAGTCTGTATTATGAGACAGGCTATTTAGGTTCAAATCTAAACTCTAAATCTTATAGGTGTTTAACTTTAGCCAAGTTGCTTAACCTCTCTACTTATTCATTTGTAAAGTGAAAAATGAAGTTAGTAATACCTATCTTACAGCATTGTTAAGGTAAAAGATGTCACAATATGTAAAATACACACCACATGCCTGACATAGAGATGACAAGTACTACTTAGGATATACTCTGTACTATTTAATTAAAAATCACAAAGTATGCAAAAGAAAAAATAGTAACCAGAATCAATAATGAGATGGATAAGATGGTAGTCTGTGAAGATAACCTAAATTAGTACTCGGCCAGAAAGAGAAAAACAAAGGGTAGATATAAACAAGATTATGTAAAATTCCAAAAGTATAAATGAAGTGATAACAAAATTCAGTAATATTGGATAAGGGGGTAAATCTTGGAACTAGAATACTGTAGTATGAATATATGCAGCACTCAATCTACAAGATAAAAATGGATCACAAACTTCGGGACAATTTCTGAATGACGAAAACAAAAATGACTAGTAAGAGGAGTTCATAAGTCTTTTGTACACCTTTTGTCTAACCCCATAGTGGCTTACAAAGTAACCAGTTTCTGATAAGGGGGATAGGGATGTTGGGAAATTACAGAGCAGACCAGACTACAGCAAAAGTTAGACCTCAAGTTATACCAGTGCTATACTATAATTTCAACTTTCCCCAATTTCATTCATCATCACCCTTCCCTAAGTACCTTATTTAGAACCCTATTATAACACCTTTTTAACGGCTTTAAGAATAAAATGTCTTAGCTGGGCATGGTGGCACACGCCTGTAATCCCAGCACCTGGCTGAGGCAGGAGGATCTTTGCGAGTTCGAGACCAGCCTGGGCTACAAAGTGAGCTCAAGACCGGGGTGAACTACAAAGACCCTGTCTCAAAAAGGCCAAAAGTAAATAAAAAAATAAATAAATAAATAAAATAAAATGTTTTTTAAGTTTAACAGTCCAAACAAATCTGAAAATATACTAACCCATTTGTATCTTAAACTACAGTTTCAACTTTTTACTCTTCTTAAACCCTTCCTAAATGTTTTTCACTTCAGAAGTCAGAAAATTTTAAAGAACTTTATGAATATTCTTTTCAGTACAAGGGGGATATTTTTCCCCAACAGGTAGGTCATAATCTCATTACTGTTAATGAATAAAGCTAAGAAAACATATTGAAGGTAGTTTTAGGCAGATTCTTCCAAAATAATAAATACATGGTCAATGTACATTTACAAATAATTTTAAGAACCACCTTTAAAGCTTGATTTTATTTTCACTATCTAATGTTTAAAAACTCAGAATCTGGTGCATTTTAGATTGTAGTAAAAATTGTAACCTCTGCCCTATCAGCCACTTCATAAAGTGCTAAAGAAGAGTAACACGGTCTAAAGATGCGCAAGCCCAAAGAGAAAGGAGAAAGAAAATATATAATGTACAACCAGAAAGGTGGAAATGAATACAAGATTTGTTTCTGACCTACAAATTTAAAGTTAAAATGGTGTGAGTGGATTCATCTCTTATAGACACATCTTGGTATTCAACATAACAGGAAGCATAAAAACAGGACAATGACAGTTTTATTTAAGGGATTCAAAATGTAAGACAGGTCACTTTTTGTTCACTCAAACTTTTATCATCCTTCCAATCAAAATTCCTCAGGTTGATATAAGTGTTTTCCCTTTTTTAATATATTATTGTATATGAGCAACAACTCCACAACTTCAGGGTCTTTGGACTCCATAAGGCAGGCACTCATCAAAATGAAAATATTGCTGTGCAGGGCAGAAATAAGCTAAACAGGAAACTAGTTTGGATTTTAATATAAGAAATGGCACATTTCTTTGACTGAATAAAGATCTTTTCAGCCAGCAAATATTACACATCTCTGTTGAAATTCCCTGGGAGAATTTCTTTAGGAAAGTATGGCTTTTCTAAGTACACAGATAGGAATTCTTTGCTTTACAAGATCTCTCCTCAACAAGCCCCACACAGATCTCAGGTTAACAGAACCTTCATGTAGCTTCCGAAGCAAAGCACCCTTCCCGCTTCCAAAAGACAGTATTTATGTTCCCTTTATCCGGAGACGCTAACAAAAACTACTGTTCCCACTACATCTACGACGCCCTCTCCACCAAGCCAACTGAAAAAGTGTCCCCAAAGTTCCCAAACAACAGCCCCGAGCGTACTCGGGGCCGAACGTTGTGCAAGAAATGTCCAGGAAAACAAGCGCTTATACATTAATCTTACCCTCCCGACGACTCACTTTTCAACATCGCGTGCCCGGTACACATCACACCTGACGCGCCTCCCGCCCTCCCCACACCGGGAAGGCAAAGCTCGGCGTCCGCCCGCCGCCCCCCGCCGCCCCGGCCCCGGCCGGAGGAACGGTGCCCAGGGGCACTCGGCCCCCCCACAGCCTCTGCTCCCGCCCGGACTCTGCACACGCGGAAAGCTCCGCACGGAGGGCTGCGGGGGCACCCCTCCCGGGCCGGGGGACCCGCACCTGGACACCGGAGGACTTGGGGGTGTGACCCGAGCGGCTGCCTCCCCCTCCCCTCCCCGCGGCCACTCACCAGACCAGGGAGCACAGCGAGAGACAGGAGACCAGGGCCAAGGCCCGCCGGTACTTCTTCATCTTCTCCGCCTTCTTGCCCCTGCCAGAAGGCGGCACATCCTCCCGGCAGCCGACACTGCCGAGGCCAAGATGGAGGAGCCGGAGCGGGAGCGCGAGGACGGGACCGAGCGTCCGAAGGGCTGAGGCGCTCGGGGAGCGGCTCCGCGGCGGCTCGCGTCCCGCACGCGCTCCGCAAGGGGCCCTGGGGCGATTCACACCGAGACTCCGGGGATCGCCGCTGCCACCGCCGGCCCGCCCGCGCCCGCCTCCTCCAGCTGCCGCCGCCGCCACTGCCGCCCCATATCCCCTCAGCCCTCCCCGGCCTTCGCTCCGCGCTGCAGGCGACCAACGGCAGCCGCGTACTCTCCTCCCATCAGCCAATCGCCGGCAGGGCCGCGACACCTCACACACCGCTGAGCTGGAAGGAGACGCGTCACCCACGTCCCGCGGCGCGCGCACCCCCACCAGCCTCCGCGCGGGCCACGCCCCCTCCGACGTCTCGGGCCCTGCGGCGGGAGCCAGGAGGACACAAAGCTCTAGAGCCTGCGCGGCCGGCTCCGCCCACCCGGGTCCCGCCCACTAACTGGCGCCAATTCAAGATGGCCTTCCACCCGCCAATGGCCCAACCCCCCCTTCTTGCTCTGCGCGCGCCGGGTCCGCGCAAGGGCCCTTGGGAGTTGTAGTTTACTTTCTGGAATCCTACTTTCCCTGTCTCGGTCCCACCTGGAATCCACGGTTTGATATAAAATTCTATACTTTCGCTTCTCACTGAGAGATTGGCCAGCTTTGGAACTGTCACACTCAGTTTTTCTCCTTGAGCACAGTTCGTGAAATTTGACCTCGAATGACGGTGAAGTAGATAGAAGAGAACAGTCTTAAAGAAATTTAAAAGGCTATTTCCCAGAATCAAGGGGTAGGACCCTTCGAGCTGGATGCTGATTGGTAGGTTAAGGGAGGGGCGTGTCAGGACTGCCTGTCTTCGGATTGGTTGGAGCCCAGAGTCTTCGCTTTCTCTCTATCTCTGGGGGACTTTCGCGCCCCGTCGAATTCCCCAGATAAAGTCCACTTGATTGGTCTCAGTTCTGTTGGTTTCACTTCGTTCCGCTGGTTTCGAGCGTTGGGGTCAGGTTCCTTCTGGGGGAGCGAGGCGCCCACAGACGCTCCGGAAGTGGGGAGGGCTATGGTCGGGGCAGAAAACGTGAAAGCTGCTAATACTTGTCAATGAGCAGCGTGGCCACTTAAGGGTTTTTTTGCTGCCAAGTCCCCTGATAAGTCTTCAGAAACTCATAGAGGGACTTTCTGCCTGAAACTCCGAGGTATTTGACCGCTTCTCTTCCCAAGAGCCTCTGATCTTGCAAGGTAGCTACTGTAAAATTAAGAGGCACCACCTGTTCATGGGAGAAGACATTTGGCCCTGGTTATGTTTCTTCATTCATCCCTCATAATATTCGTTACAGACACCGAGGCTAAGAGACAAGTTAGTCTTTTCTGAGGGATATTTTAGATAATATAAAAGTGTAACACAATGATGTTCCCCTTTGTTTTCTCCCTATCAGACTAGTAACTACCTTCCCCATGATATTTCCAGAGAAATTAGGGAGGAGAGAGTATAAACTGGCTGTGAAGGGGGCGGGGATTCAGAAAAGGGGCGGAGGCGTAGTTATCTGTGCCTTGGAATGTAGCATAACGTTTAATATGAAAAATGTTTAAAGGAAGTGTTACTTATGGTTCATGTGGCGAAAGAAAGGAGAAAAAAGCCCCAACTAATGCCTAAATTTCAGCCATGAAATTTCCTTATGAACCCTCTAAAGTAGACTAGTTTTTATTTATTTTCCCAGGGAACTGAATAATTTGAACCACTCTGTAATTCTTGGATATAAGTCAACTGTATGTTAGGGAAATTCTACAAAGGATTGTAAGTTAGGTTTGAGAGAACTTCACTACTTTTTTGGGGGGGCAATAATTAGATAACAGTTACCCTTTTCTGCTGATGTGTCTCTTAAGTATATGGCAGTCAAATCCTTTTACCTCTATTCCCCACTGCAGGAGGTAAATTTTTGCCTTAGGAGTAGAAGGATGAGGACCGACATTCTTTCTAATATTGCACACGTGTTTCTTCTTACTCCAACAACTGTGCTAAGGATAGGGAACGGTTGTGCGTCGCTCATCTATTACCAGCAGATCACAGCCAAAGAAGATGCATTAGAATTCAAGTGTATTTCAAGTCTGGAAAGTTACAAGTGTCCTCTCCTGTCTCTCATCCCTCTCACTCCAAGCCTGCATGCCCACCTACTCTTTTAAAAATATATTTGTTATTTCTTAATTGACACATAATAATTATACATATTCGTATACATTTGTATAGGTATATATACAATGTGTAAAGATCGGATTAGGTAACTGGCACGTCCATCACCTCAGACAGATTCCATTTCTTTGTGCTGGGAACATTCACAGTCCTCTTTATGGGCTGTTTTGAAATACCCAATTGTTGTTAACCATAGTTACTCTACTGTGTTATAAAGCATTAAAAGTTATTCCTGCTGTCCATCTACATTCTTGCTACATCCTTACATCTCATCTATTTACCACACCCTCTGTAGTGGATGGACAACTGGTGGTCAACTTATAACCCTCACCTGAACTGAGTAAGTGTAGTGCTGGATATGGGAGGCCCACCTGAGGAATGTTGCCAGCCACATAAAAGGCAGAACTGGGGAAGAAGAAGGAGGCTGTTTGGAGCAGAGAAAAGTTGTTGGTTCTTTTGGAGGAGCGCGCCATGCTGGCTTTCCTGATGAACTTGGCTGTTTTCATCCCCCAAGGAGCTCAGGACCTTGTTGGTAATGAGAACAGCCTCTGTTCACTTTGGGGGAGCTCTAGTCCTCACTTTGAGCATCACCTCCTGGCTCTGGAGGGGAGGATGGTGCACTGCCAGTCTTCTGGAGAAGCTTGCTGCGTTGGCTTTCCTGATGGGAACTCAACTGTCTTCACCACTGGAGGAGCTCGGGACCTCACTGTTGCTGAGGATGGCTGTGGTACCTTTCGGGGGAGCTCTGGTTCTTTGTGCTTGGCTTCCTGGCTCCAGTGCAGATCCCTCAGCCTGCTAGCACAGATCCTTCATCCCTCTGGCACAGACTTCCTAGATTCCACCACTGACCTTTAGGCCTTCCCAGTGCAGATCCGTGAAACAGGCCTGCATAAGATGTTGTCATGGGCTCTGGGTCTCCAGTTGGATTCATGGAAGCCCAGAGCCCATTGGCATTGTTATGGGCTCTAGGTCTTCAGCTGGACTTACGCAGGACATTATCGTGGGATTCAGACCCTCCACTGGTTTCCTTGGTCTTAGTGTGTGGGCAGATTTTCTGCACTCTTTTGTATATCATTCTTTGGATGACTATTATAAATAATCTCATAAAATATGTGCCCTGTATTATATTGTTCACCTTGCAAAATATCCCCCAAACCAACACACCCTCCCAATACCTTTTCCAGAATTTGGTAACCACCATTCTATTCTCTATTTCTTTGAGATCATACTTTTAACTTTCACATACAAGTGAGAACAGGTGGAATCTATCTTTCTGTGCCTGACTCATTTCACTTCCAGTTCCATTCATGTGGCTTAAAATGACAGAATTTCATTCCGTTTTCTGACCAAATGACATTGTATTGTATTTATGTACATTTTCTGTATTCATCCCTCAGTGGACACGTAGGCTGATTCCATATCCTGATTATTGTCAATAGTACTACGACAAACATGCAAGTGATATATCTCTTTGACATACTGATTTCAATTTCATTGGATATATATTCAGTAGTGAATTTTCTGGATCCTATCACAGTTCTATTTTTAGTCTTTTGAGGAAGTTCCTCATCATTTTCCACAGTAACTGTACTAATTTACAGTTCTGCCAACAATGTGTGAGTTCCTCTTTCTCTGCATCCTCACCAGCATTTGTTATTTTTTTCTTTTTGACTTTCTAACTAGAGTGAAATTATATAATCACTGTAGTTTTGACTTGCATGTCCTTAGTGATTAGTAATACTGAGCATTTTTAATACTCTTAGGGAGCATTTATATAACCTCTTTTGAGAAATGACTGTTCAGGTCTTTTACCTAACTTTTAATTAAATTACTTATTTTTAGAGTTGGTTGAATTCTTTATATATTCTAGCAATTAATCCTTTGCCAGATTTATTGTTTGCAAATACTTTCTCCTATCTGTAGGTTGTCTCTGCACTCTTGATTGTTATCTTTATTATACAGATGCTGTTTAGTTTGATATACTCCCATTTGTCTATTTTTGCTTCTGTTTCCTGTTTTTAGGATCAAAACTGTCTTAGACACTTTCTTGTCATTGAGACACAATACCTGACACCCACAACTTAAAGCAGGAGAGCTTTATGGCTCACAGCTTTAGTCCGTAGTTGACTGGCTCCAAGGCAGAACAGCATGGCAGAGGACCTGGTAGAAGAAAAGCTGCTCACATTGCGGCAGCCAGGAAACACAGAGAGAAAGAAGAGTCAGGAAAGGAGATACACCTTTCCAGGTCATGCTCCCAGTTATCCACGTCTTCTGACCAGACCCCGCCTCCTAATAGAAAATCAGCTATAATGTCCCCATAATCCTGTTACCTTCCAAACACATGAGGCTTTAGAGTCCATTTTGTATCCAACGGACCTTTGCCCATACCAATGCCCTGAAGTGGTTCTCCTATATTTTGTTCTAGTAGCTTCAAATCTTTGAGCCATTTTGAATGGCTCACACCCTTCTTTTCCAACAAGTCCCTGCATTGATCTCTTGGAATATACAACTAATAAATAGGGTGGTTTTTTTTTTTAATTTTCCTTTTCATTGTTCTTCCTTTTTCTGTCTGAAGTTTTATTAACACCCTTGTGGTACTGTTGCCATTTACTTACGTATTATTCAATTAAAAGCTTGCATTATTTTAGTCAATAAATATCCTTTACTCTTTTTGCTAGCTTCATACCCATGGTTCCATGTTAACATTTAATTTTCAGTGCTCTGAGTTTTCCAGAGGACTCTGGTGCTTTGTAATTTCAGTTCCCTTCCAGGTCTGCCCCCGCCTCTCCAAATTGTTGTTGGCGATACCACTTGGGTCGTCTGTCGCTGGGAACTGTACTTGCATAAGATAAAACTCATCTTCCTCATAAATTAACTTCTTCACCTGACTTTCTATGTATGTTTTGTTCTCTTCTAAGACTTCATGTAGGGAACATAATAAAAGATCTAATAAGAGGTGACTTTTGAAAAACTGATAGATATTTTTCTACATAGTATGTGGGAAAAATAAGGAGAAATTTGTGTTGTAATTCAATAAAGAAATAAAAAAGTAAATTAGAATTGTATAAAATAGATTTAGTACCATAAATGCCACCATACTTAAAGGTATAACATGCCAAAGAATAGCAAGAAAGAGTATAGAAAACTCAAAACGTGTATACTTTTTAGGGCTTACGCTACATGATCACCATCTCCCACCTCTTAACTATTCTGCAATCGTTCACAACCTGGGACAGTTTTTTCTTCTGTGCTCTAATTGCTAGTATCTGGGCACATTTTAGGTTGTCACACCGGGGAAGTGCCCCTGGCATCTAGTGGTCAGAGGCCAGTGACACTGTTCTACAACCTGCGATGCATAAACCAGTTGTCAACAACAATGACAAAAAATCATTTAACTGAAGCAGTCAAAGTGCCAAGGTTAAAAGACTCTGCAATAACAGAATCCCCAGATTCAATAAAATCTATAACCACTGACTGCATACACGCTAACTCGTTCTCTGCACATCCTTAGATCATTGTAGACGTCGCAAAGGACTAAATTGCACAACAAGCCTGCTTTCTCCCATTCCTGAAGGGTTAAATACACAGAAACTTCAGGCAAATCCTGCCTAATAAGAATCAGAAACTACTTCTGCTGATGAAGAAAAAGTATAAGCAATTTCAACACCTTCTGGCCATCACCTTTTTCTTATATAAAAATCATACTTAAGACGCCCAAGAGAAGACTCATTTGTCCGTTTAAGATGGTGGTGTTTGGTGAGCAAGCCTTGATATATTTGGATTTTGTTGAACAAATATCAGCTTGCTGGGTGTGGTGGTGCAATGCCTGTAATCCCTGTAATCCGAGCACTCACGAGGCTGAGGCAGGAGGATTGCTGTGAGTTTAGGGCCAGCCTGGACTACAGAGTGAATTCAAGGCCAGCCTGAACTGCATAGCAAAACCCTGTCTCAAAAAGACAAAAAAAAAAAAAAAAAAAAATCTGCTCATTTCAATATTGCAAAGTGCTGAGATAGTATATATCTAAGAAAAAAATTAGAGAGAAACTGCTCT